GCCACTGCTTATCCTGCCTAAGTGTGGAGGGTACCAGCGTCCCATTCAGAGTTGCCGGCATTCTGACACAACTGAGAGCGCCTCAAACACTAAAGAACACCTCCTGCTCATAATACCGGCAAAATGATTAAAAACAACTGCTCAGCAGTGGATAATAATTCATCACATTCGGCAGAAGACGACAGTAACACAAATTTGAGAAATATCGTTTCGCACATCTAAATTGTAAACACTAACTGCGTTGTTAACCAACCAAAATTCGTGATGAACAGACCTTCTTCATATCCGTGTAGTTAAAACACAAGCTCGCACTAACATCTTTTTGTCCCTGAAGAATGAGAGCAAACAAACTGGAGCCAACCAAGTCATCTCGTTTCGTAACTTCAGAACTCAATCGACAGTATCACTCTCCGGGGAAAATCTAGATAAAGTTCAATACATAAACAAACAGAAACGGGACCTCAAACAAATTCCGTTGATTCAAGAGATGAATTCGAGGATAGTTACAGATAAGTCAACGATAAGGTGAGTTATATCTATCGAATTATTACAAGGTTTCTTCTCGTGAGTGTATAGCAGCCTCAAGGTTTACGATTGTCAGTACATGTCTTTAAAATTACCACTGATCTGTGGAGTTGTCTGATTCTACCCCAAAATCCATTGCTAATTTTGGATCTGTAAAACACGGTAAATTTTAAGATGCGGGAACGGTGCCAACTTTCGTTAACTTCACTTGCTTTTTCCTTTAGTTTTACATTACCTTTTTTAACTTGGGAGATGGTTAGAAAATCACTTTTTACGTTAGTAGGGAAATACTCCTCTCCGGGTTCAAAACTCTTACTTGAAAAGCAGCCCTGTCCGTGTCTATGTACACAAAAGGCGTATCCCATATAATTGCACAGCAATGACGCATCGAAGTGGGTCCAAAGGGGCAAAAACAGAGAGCCGTCTGGATTAAAAACAAATTGTAACCAAATTTTGGTTACTAAATATTGTTGAAACAGGAGAAAACAGGTATTTTCTTATACCTTTTTGCAGTATGGCAAACATCATTCGGGAGAGTTGCCCCTCTCTGATGGATGCAAGACTCGATGAGAAGCTCACAGATAGACCTGGACAGTCTAAATTTGGCCAGGGCCCTAAAGGCACAGAGTCAATGGCCTTGGAAAAATTTGAGGACGTGCGTAACACGCCCAACGTAGCCTACGCCGTAGAGCACAGGCACCTCGCAGACACGCAAAAAGTTTGTAGAAGTTTCAGTGTCTCCCATCGTGAAAGTTCGAGTTTCGGAAAGCTTCAGATTGTAGCAGCTGTTTATGGCTTCGTGCGGCTTTGCAGCAACATGACGTTCAAGGCCCCATCTCTTCCCAGCGCAATGAAATGGACGATATTGTACCTTGAGCAGGGTAGGGCTTACGAAACACTGGTGTCTATACGGCGGTGTAAAACACCTAATCCGGGCCCTACCAATAAGAAGTTCGAAAGCCTGCGGAAACACACTCTGTGCCATAAATCGCGCACAGTTTTTATTTTATGCTTTGGCATCTCTTCTCTATATTTTTGATTTTAGAAAAGCTTCAAACTAGTACAACTTAGTATTGGTACGAAATACAAAGTTCCAACGCTTGCCAGCGCAATGAAATAATTAATGGTTCTGATGCCTTAGGCAAAAGGGGGGCCAACATCAGGGGCGTAGCCACGGGGGGGGAGCTGGCGGGGGCACGTTGCCCCCCTATTTCCAGTGCCCCATGTGCCTCCCACTAAAACAAACAGATGAATGGATAATGAACAAGGCTAACAAAAGCTTGCCCCAAAAACCACACCACTGAAAGCTGGTGCCCCCCCCCCTAAGATGGTGGTGCCCCAACTAGTAAAATCCTGGCTACGCCACTGGCCAACATAACACTGGTACCAAGAGTCCGCCTTAAACTTGGTAATTAAAACTGCCCGACTGGCCCTCTTCTCAAGCACTTTTGCTTAATTATCATTCAGGCAGATAGCGTTTTACTTGGGTACATGCACCACCACTAACGCACCGCATTTATTCACCAGATGGGAATGGACATCAGATGGTAAATGCAGAAAGGTACAAAGATTACAAGTCAAAACCATGAAGGGACCAAGAAACTCATAACTACGAATGAAAAATGTTGCTTCGTATATAACTGGAGGACACGTGCGAACTGTGGAGGGGATGGGCTTGAGCGATGACTCCTTTTATTTTGGTCTTAATTTAAATTTGTCATGATTGATATTTCACTGGCTGTACCCTGCGCATATGCCATGTCCAACGACTGGACTGCACCGAACAATATTTCTAACTGCATATAATAGTAATTTCTATCTTATCTGTATGTGTACATAACTATATCGCGGTATGTATACAATGAAGATGGGCGTCAACCAGGGTTTTTTTTTTTCAGTTCAGTCTTACGGAGATATACCCTAGGGCAGATGCAGAACTCAATTTTCGGGGGGGGTTGAAAAAAATAGGAATTTCTTTATGGAACCTTTGATGACCTTATTGAGGCTAAATTTGGGAGCTTTGTTTACCCGCTTTGAGTAGGAAGGAAAATAGTAACAGCAAGACTATAAAAATTCAGCTCACAGATGAGGCGGGAACCACTCCACCGTAAGGTGGTGCCCTTTGTACCCGGTATAATACACCGCCCGGTGACGGGTGCAAACTTGCGTTATTTTTCAATGGGTTTTATAACAATAAGTAGACAGGATCTATCTCAACTTTTATTGACAGTATCGATAACCTGCTCCTCACAGAAATATTGCCATTACATGTGCTGTGTATTGTTTATGTACCTTAGCTGTTTGGTGACTTTGTGTTCTGGTTCTTCAAATAGCAGAAGTTACCAGTAGATCTTTGTTTTCAGGACGTTTCACAGCCATGCCCAATGACCGATCCGTGGGTGGTAACGGGGGGGGGGCGGATCTCTCCCCAGAAGAATTTTTCTTGTTGTTGATATGTACGTGTAGTTCGAAAAGGTCGATTCGGTTGAACTGGCCTCCTATAACTTACCGAGCTCTGACGCAGGTCACTTATCCTATGCGCCAGGAAGTAAAACACGACATCGACGTTGGGCAGTACTCGGCACGACCGTCCGAGTGCGCTCTCGAATCAAAACGATTTCCCGTGGGTTGAGGTCCAGAATGGCAATTCAAATTGGATAAAAACCAGACTAACATTTAATTAAGGTCGACGACGGACATGGCACGCATTTTTCTGATAAGTGTATGCAGTTTTGCGCCCAGAAGCAGCCAAACCAGTGTTAAGTAACTGGCAGGGGGGGGGCCACGAGGCCCCCTGAGTCTCTCCCTCATTGAAAATTTGAAATGTGCACAACCTATGTACAAGCCGCAGTCAATATATTTTTGATCTCCAGCTTGAACAAAATGTGTTGCAGATGCTTCCTCAGAACATGTCACCTAAGTACATAAACACTACTGAACCAGTAGAAGGTATTTTGAAAGCCCGTTTGAAAGGTTTACAGGCAAGTTTGGAGCTGAGAAGTTCTTGGTTCGTCACGTAACAACAGGCAACGACATATCATCTGACCAACTTTCAGAGGGGCCGTTTCTGAATATGTACGCCTTTGGCTGAAAATGCCAAGCAGGCTTGGGAGCCACTGACTGGCTGGAGCGGCTGAGACCGATTTCAATCGACCACCATCACAATCGTTAATATACTATCGACCATAATGCAGTCTATAAATAGACGAATCCGGTAACCAAGGTAACGCTCTCACTGGTCGCTTGCTGCGGGCCCACGCCAATGGCTGTAAACACGGAGGTACCAATTATTGTACAAAATGCTCTCCACCATCGGGAATATTCAATGAATGGTCTTTGAATTAGTTGGTACACTTTTATTAATAGGGAAGTTAATCAAAGACCATCATTGAAAAATTACATCGAATTACATCGAAATATTACACATGTACATCAAACCAATTTGTACCACAATCTGGTTTTGCTTGCAGGCATCCATTTGAACAGAGTCTGACTTAGGCATTTGCTGTTTTCGAAATCCACGGTGAAGTAGGTCATGCGTAGGCCTTCTTGAATACGACTACAGATACGTCTGCCTCACTTTCAACTACAAACCCTGATTAATATTGGAGTGAACTGAACAAAAAAAGGGATTTTGCAGACGTGCATTGCTCGTATTCTTGACGTTAGGGGTCAGACATCGAGGAATGTAATTATGTAATTGGCTGGATTGGCACAATGCATTTACAGCCAATTACAGCGATATCGCAGATTGAAATAATTTATGCCTGGGTGAAAGGAAACCAAGCCTGGGCAAAGGTTCAATGTCCATAATTATGGAGGGCACCACACCGAAGTTCAGCGTAGACGATGTGCCCCATTCAGCTGGAGAAGGCTCGTACATCAGTCTAAAAATAACATGATGCGTTTTAAAATCATGGGGACAAATCACAAACAAAACAAAATACTCTCCAAACACAGTGGGCGGCCTCTCCTTAAAGGAAGCAGAGTCCTGAGGAAGCAAAGTTCTCCTGCCCCTGGCGCCATACAAGAAGACATTACCCTCCAATGTAAATTTTATCATTTATGACTGGAAAAGGGTCAAACTTGTCTCCAGATACATTCCAGTTTGTGGTGGTCGAGTGTGTTCCTGTCAGTACTGGTTCTATGGTCTACAACTGAACAGAGCCCCCCCCCACATACACCATGTGATAGCGGTGTCCCCGGTTGTCCGTCCACCACCCAATTAAAATATCATGACCACCCCCCCAAATAGACAGACGACTTGGCTTTAAAGTCTACATGTTGGTCTAAAATAAATGGCAAATTTTGCGACATGCCCATTAATTGAAGTTGAAGGTGTGTTTCGTAAGGTTGTACTTGGTACGTCTGGTTAATATTTATACAATATGATAATCACAAATATAGCTTATCGTTGGTGGTTCTGATACACAAAGTGTCACCATCATTACACAACACGCATCACAGTTGGTAACTAACGGCAGTCCACAGTCCATTTCTGTTGCACCGCACCGGCCTGGCACACATTCGTTTCAATCCTTTGCACAAAATTTGCGTTGTTTAGTCTGCAGTGGGAAAGGCAGACGAATGCTTGATTATCATTTGCTGTAAAAATTTTAACCGCTGCTTGCTCTTCAACCATGGATGAGAAGGAAGTTAGGATTGCAGAACCGCAGCAGTCGCGAAAGGTATGTATAATTAATTGTATGTACACGGCATTGTTCACATCATGAGAGAGTTGATATTACTTAAATTAAAGAAGTCTTCATCGTAAAAGTAAACAGCGCAATATGTTGGTTCTCACTGGCATTGAAGTTTTGCAGTGAGACATGAATGCATACGATAATTTTACCAGTCAAAATTTTCGCACAGCGAACCATGCACATACTGACTAGAAGGTGTTTCAGACTGGATGTGATTCACGACTTCTTTTCATTCTGTCCCGTAATGCATCATCAAACCTGTTAAGTCCAATTTAGAACGTATGTTATTCCTATTGAAGTCATCAACTTCCGAAACACAGCTTTGCAAAAAGGGTATTCCTTTCCTTTTTAACTGCCCATCCTTGTCATTTGATTTAGTAACAGGTACATTTTTGTTTGTTTTTTATTGACTGACCAAGTTTGATCAAATAACGCATCATGTCGCTGACGCAATTCAATCGTTTCACTTTCTGTCCCTTTTATTTTGCTGGATTGTAGCCTCTGTGATTTTGTTGGTCTTTTCGTACTTGCTGCGCTGGCGTTGATCTGAATGTTTACACTGATCGAGTCTTTCAACCAAGCTCAGGGCACAAAATTCTTAAACATTTATAAGAAAAGATTAATCAGGGTTTATTGCCATGCACTTGCACAAAAATGAACCACCAAGGAAAAGGACATGTAGGTCAGCAAAATATATAAACTTCCAGTGATTTTTGTTACACAAATAATGCATCATTAAGGTTGTCCTCTTGAGATGATATTACACTTAGGCCCTAAGCTCATGGGTTCACAAGAGTTCTTTGTACTTAAAAAATGCATTGCACGCATGCATTAAAGGTATACCCTTAATATTTTATGCTTAAGTCCTACCTAACCAAGCAAACTGTGTCCTCCACAAACAACATTATCCCCTGCAGATCTTATAGTTGCCCAGCTGGTGTTTGCCCATCCGTCAGTGTCGGAGTATTTGCAGGGCTTTCTTTCTGAGTATTTTGCCCGTTTGTGTTAGTGTCTTTTTGCCGACGTGTTTTGGCTCCTCAGTGATGTCGTTTGCATGGGCAGCCTTAACTTGAAATATTTGTCATTGTTATTCTTTTTCATTCAATCGCTTAAATTAAACAGATCAGTTGTGAAAGAAAGATTGACTGCCGCCCTTGGCGGAGAATACGAAATCTGAATCATTCTGTTAGTCTTTCCACTGTTCACACAGCCCTTTAAATTTGAAGTGTTCTCGAAGCAGATTATTGATCTAAAGGTTGGTTTCTTTGTTCAAAGTTCAAGTCCGAAGAGGGCTATAAAATAACCAAAATAGCCACTCGATTTAAGTAACAGTCAAATTCCTACGCTAAACTACCAAGCCCCTTCTGCTTCGTTAGAAAGAGGAAATAATTTCAACATGCCATCACACAAAAAGCGCACAAGATCCCACTTGACAAAGTGTAGAAATCCCAGTACATGCAGATAAGGTCCCAAGGTACGTGGGAATTCGATTTGGCTCTTATAACCCACCAGGAAAAAGGCTCTAAACCATTTGGATTCCATCTTTGTCCTATCACAGCCAAATGTCTATTTCGAAAGTGTCTGAGCTTCCGAAACTTTAAGGCGTGTAAAGCATCATACCGTAACCTGTGACGAAGATTTAGGACCCGACACTAACCACGGAAGAAACCTTTCTTTGTCATAAACCTCCAACTGTTAAATATAAGCCAGTACTGTCGGGTCATGTCAATTAGTACAGATTTTTGTCCTTTTTGTCCAACGATTTATATACACCCTATCTTAGCACATATAGGTTTCACCAACAAACCAACCGACATTTGGTGCGCAAGACCTGAGATCTATCCGGGAGAGGCATTAATCGCACGACGCTGAGCGGAAAGCTAGGTCATGGATTGCTGAAAGCCTGGGTCTTGGCCACAGTTCATTTGGATCATGCACGCATTTGCTAAGGCCGCAACGAACTCTTAACTTTTGGAAAGTCTGTGAAAATAAAGTGTCAGAAACAGAGTTCGCACGATACGGAAAATGTTACAATGGGATGCTTCCACAATTGCACGTAGGCCGACTCCACGGGCCTAATTGCTTACGCTTACCCTGCCCAGGAAGCAGGGCATTTAACATTGTTGCCCTTATGTCACTGTGACCAGGAAGTTAGAAGGAAATCTATCTGTGCTAACTTGGTCAGCCATCCAAGGCACACACTCGAGTGTTTATATCCTTCCACGAGTCCATTCACAACTCTAAATCCATTATGTCCCCTGGGCCCACCTCACACATACACGCCTGCCTTTCAACATACACAAGATACTCGCTAAAGAGGGGGTTGTGGGGTGTCCCCCCCTCACTTAGTCAGTTTTGTCGGCAAAATACCGTATTGGCAAGAATGGAGAAGGAAGGGGAAAGAAGGGGAGGGGAGATTAGGTTAGAATCAGGTCGGGAATCAGACTCTCTGTACACTCTTGAAATTTGCCGACAGTCTGTCAGTTAGTTTTATGATGACTACCCCTCCCATTTAAATGGTCTAGCGACGCTCGTGAACACGCATGCGTGTGTATGACCCTCCCTTATCTTGCCCCCTCCTTGCCCAATAATGCTCTATGATATAACCAAGGACATTGTGCTGCGGCTGTAACCGTTGTATGTGTATTGTGGGAGTGCTGCACAGCCACGCGTATTGATCCTCCTTCAAGGCCCGTTGAGCTAAACACATAGCGATATACACCAAAAGACTTGGTTCATTCATTGGCCAGTTGAAGTTTTCCAATCTCAACCCCCTTTGAAGCATCCTCCTAACAAGTGTGCGAATGAAACTTCGTTCAAAATGGTGAGGGTTAAATATTCATCTGCCGATCCTACTCTGAAACAGGGGAAAGCTACGGTATGGCTGGCTCTGTCCACCTTCTCCGTTTGCGTTGGGTCTTCCCTGCAGTTCGGCTACGGGACCGGCGTCTTGTCGGCGCCACTTGGCTTCGGGGTGAGTGTCTATTTGTCAGTTATTTTGCTTTCCCCATACACACTTTCCATCATCAGATCATTACGCCATATCTCTCTGCGCGATTAAATCCCCACTTTTTGGCTTGATCTCCACTATGCTGCAAGACAGTGTTTTCATCATTTGAAGTTTCGTCGACTTGGCCATGTCTATTTTGCCATTTCCAGTTAAAAGCAATTTATTTAAATGTCGAACCGTCCACTGGAGTAGCACGGGTGTTGTGTGAAACTTTAGTACTTCCTCGTGGAATATAACACCTATCAAAAGAGCTAGGGCATCATTTGACACATTTGAAACTGTGGCACGTGGCATTTATAACTATAAGGCCAACGGTCAGGGTGATCGACTGAAAAACATTTACCGGTTCCGTATATTCACTACTGCCTGAAAGTCACAAACGGTGTGGTGTCAGCCACAAATTTGATACGCTCATCCTGACACTGTTCTCATCATTGCCACACTTTCGATCTGGTGCTAGTTGTAGTTTTGCTTGGCATATAAAATATTCGGATGAACGTACAGTAACATGACCTAGCAGTGGATTGGTTGATTGCATATGATAGCATGTTGGACCATAGAGCAAGGACTATGGTTGGACATGGAGGTATAAAAATGACATTTGATGGCGTTTGGGGATTGGTTTGACCATGGAAAAGAGATGAAGGGAGCAAAACTCTAGTCCTTGGTCCTTTTTTATAGCTCCATGGGTTGGACCAGGGACTAGATGGTCCAACCAATCCCCAAACGCCATCAAATTTCATTTTCGTCTGATGACATCACGGAGAGTGCATAAAAGCACGGAGAGCATAATAATGTCAAGTTTATCTTTTAAAATACAAAGCCGTATGGTGGAAGGCCTCCAATTTCTTGCCGACAGTTCATCATTTCGCTCCTTTCTGGTGTGATTATCATGTAAGCTCTCTGCCAGCTAATAGATTATGTAATAGTTGATTATTTTACCATGTCCATTTGCTTGCCTTGATTCCCACTAAGGCCGTGTCTGAAACAGCCTATGCTGAGTACAGCGGCATGGTTTAAAACGACCTTAGGTATGGAGCTATACAGCTCCATGGTATGGGTATTCTTTGTGACGAGACCCATGAACTATCGCAGTGTTTATTTTCTTCCTCCGTGGTTATGCCACATTAGCAACTCTGTTCTCTGGAACATCTACTGGTCATCCCACTAGCCTATGTTTTGAAGCATATCTCGGATATTCAACACCCTTTAAAATGAGAAATATTCACCTCATGCAATATTCCCCACTTAATTTAGTGCGACCCACGTAAGCCCAAGACGCCCCCAAATGGTTCAGCATCGTCTTTTATTGTGCATTAAACCGCGTTATCATTAAATCTCGAGTTTATTTTCCGATACCATTATCACTGAATTTCAGCACGCTCGTTATCGATGTGATTGGAAAATTCATTTGCGCTTATAACCGTCTAACAGCCAAAACAAATCATTCCTCAGGTACATTTATAAACAGTGGATCGATTGTGTCGGTCCTTGGCTGCCAACCCTGGCCAATGTAAGTCAGGTCATTGTCGGCTACGCATAATCCCAAGAACACTCCACTACGGGTATAACCCTCGTCAGGAGCTAGGCATCAGACTCCATGCAGTGTAACGCCAACAGTTAACCGTTATCGCAGACCTGACCACAAGTTGGCCAGCTCAACCAAATTCCCCTAACGGCTTTTGCATATCGCTATTGTTGGGGTTACGTAACGGATTTCTTTTGGCTGGAGACGTCCGTCTATTTATAACAGTATGGGGCAAGGACTGCCTTGGTATATACTAATGCATGCACTATATACGCGGAGGAAATGATGCCTGAAAGCTCCAATGTATGTCAATCAGGATTTGGGTGTCTTCACTTGCGCAACTGGTACAATTCAGAATACATGTATAGCTTCTTAATTGTGATCCAGCGGTACTGAGATTGATTTACACGGAAAAGGACAATCGTTTCGCTAAAGTTACTGTTAAACTGACTTTAAACTTAAGTCGAAGACTCCTCAATTGAACTTCTCATAAGCGTTAGTCCATAATTATTCAGTATAATGTCGTTACAGGGTGATTATTTCGTTAGAGTATCGATTCACTGCGATTTTAACGGATTTTCAAATGAGGAGTAAAGAGTTCCAAATATCTTTATTTTCACTCCTAGTGGTACACCTAGTCCTTGCTCTATGGGTGAACCAAGCACTTTTTTTCTCTCATTACTCTTTAAAGCCTAAAGGCAGAGTAAAAAACTCGCTCTCAAAAAGAGTGAGTCTCTCATAAATCCAAAAGAGTGAAAAGTGAAAACCACTCTCAATTTAAACTTTAAAAACCACTCTAAAAGAGTGAGATTCGTAAAGGATTGGAGTAGCAGGCGCGGGAAGTCACTCTTTTAGAGTGTTTTTCACTCTTTTAAGAGTGGAGTGGCTTTGTAAGGGCATTCACTCTTTTGAGAGTGAGTTTTTCACTCTTCTGCATTTAGAGCGTACTGTCAATTGATAGCGTTAGGAGGTTGTGCCCCTGTACCTCGGTTGGATTGTGTTGCTTGTGTTGACCAAGTCCAGTGAGTGCTTCCCTACAGTGGAGGAAACCTCCAAAGTGCATTTGACATGGAATGATGTGGGAGAGGGTACCACCTCCCCAATTTTAGTGGGGACCATTCACTGCGTTTCCACATGGTTTCAGCAATCTTGGGAAATCTATGGATAATTATGCATACGGACGTGTTTGGGAACGATATGTTGGATATTACCATCAGCGCTGGAGTGTGGATACACTTAATCAAGGGCGGACCCGAAACCAATTGTTTGGGACCAAACTGTGTGTGTTCGTTCGGGGGAGACAACGGGGGCCATGCTGCCCCCTAAAAAAGAAAAACTTTTTTTTCTAACAATGAAAGAAAGCCAATTTTGCAATGTAGGTCTATTACATTTTCCTTCTTTCCAAAACCGTAAAAAAGCCCCAAATATAGTCCCACCCGTTTACGGAAAGAGTATAAAAGGTTGCAAGAGATAAATCATTAAGCCACCCCCCACACCCACACACAAGTGTGTAAACGCCTTCAATCGTGGACTCCCTATTGTTCCTCTTTTGTTCATACTTTAACTTATTCGGAAGACCTCCCATATGTTTTGTCGACGTTTTCCAACCGTGGACTCTTCGGCAACCATGGACCCTATTGTCCCCTATTGTTATAGGTCCACGATTTGAATGTGTATACCAACTCACCCGTATAAATGCGTCGGTACTCTCTCCCGCAAATCGTAAGTGGTGTTTACGCCCGTGTGCAGAGGGCTTATAGCAAGGCTGAAGTTAATCCATACAGTGCAGTGTTGCTCTTAGCTGAAGCTGTAGGCTTCTGAAAACCGAGGGAAGGAAATACAACAAACTTCAAACAACTGGCTGAAGAATAAAACGACATCAGCAATGACACCGACCCCAGAAGATTATGCCACTTTGTTTGATATTTTGCGGTACAAAATGGAACCAAAAACAGAAATGAGTATATGCAATCTCTCCGCCGGTCTAACAAAATTCATGAGAGAGAAGACAAAGAAGACAAAGAAGACTTTTTTACTTTAGGAGTGGGAGGATAGCCCAAAATGAAAAAAAAAATAGAATTAGGGAGGGGACGAAAAACGTGCATACAGACGATGGCAGGATTTGAACTTGGGAAGATAGACCCTACATTGTAAAAGTACCACTGCGCCGAATAACCCAGTAGCCTTAACGGGAACAAACTTTTTTTGTATGACCCCCTCTCGCTCTCCCTTTATCTTTCGAAACAGTATTTGAATGATTTCTACAACATGTCAAACTATCAGCGCCGGGAAACGTACTTTGACAAGGATGCAATGAACTGGCTGCTGGCCTTCACCACTGCACTCTACTGTGTCGGCGGTGCTTTTGGCGCACTCCTCGGCGGTACACTCAGCGACATCCTGGGCAGGCAAGTAGGACCGTTTTCGGTTGCGAAATATTTTTCGTTATTGTCCGTCGGCCTGGATATTGTGAAAAGTCCCACGGAAGTCAAATCTTTTCCTTTAACGAGCAGAAACGTCTCATTCTTTGACAGCTATAAGGCGATCCAAAACCAGCGAAACAAAACGACCCATTTTGTTCAACCGGCTACACAGTATTCTGTTTTCTTAAATTAAACATGATGGAGCCACACCAGGTCTTGTCGTGTGCCCCAAACTCTGTATAGGATTCTCGAACTTTCTGTAGGCCCTAGGCCCATCCAATCCCAAACCACCTCAACCCAACCCAACCCAACCCAACCCAACCCAACCCAACCTAAACCAACCCAACCCAACGACAAAAACCTTAAGGACTAATTTCCTCCCTCGCCCTTGAGTTTCTTTGTAAGTTAGCACGATTCCCAGTTTGGAATGTACTAATTCCCTCTACAAGTAAAAAAAATGTTCATTGTAACACCTCGCCCACGGATTCTGTATCTTGATTGGCCGAAAGTGTGTCATGTGACGCTTGCTAGTTTCACTATTTTATACCACCGCAGCCTCTTTCTGAAAAAGAACTATACCCGTATAGCAACCAAAGAACTATATACTGTATGTACCAATGAAAGCACACGCGCGTATTTCGGCTCATAGCGAACAACACCGGTTAATGAATGTATGCAAACGGTGCTGTTCCGTTTGGAATTCTTGAATTAAATTTGATGAATGTAAATTCAAGTTTGGTGTTTCATTATTGATTTTTAGCTTAAATTTTGCAGAATCTGTGGGGAGGTGTTATAAAACATACACTGACTGCTTTATCTCGCGGTATAGTAAAACTAGCCTCCCTTGGTGATCTTTGGAATATTCTATTTTTCCTCGGCTTTGCCTCGGGAAATTAGAATGCTCCACGGATCATCTCGGGAGGCTAGTTTTACTATACCACTCGAAGCAGTCAATATTTGTCATCTTCACATTTTCAGGAAGGGCGCCCTCCTCCTGAACAACATTTTCTCCATTGCTGCCGCGCTCCTGTTCGGCTTCAGCGGCGCCGACTACGCCAATAATTTTGAGATAGTTATGGTTGGGCGTCTCATCATCGGATTCATGGTTGGTAAGTGTCGCTCGTCGTTTTTGGGGAAAAAAAGAGATAATATCATATTCCGGACAAACTATTAATTGCCTGATCGATGTCAAGATGCGGATTGGGGATTTTCCAGTTTGAAAATGACTGATTTTACAAATTGTATTGCTTTGGTACTTAATGACCTCTGGGTTGATTCTTTAAATGATCAAGTATGAGACGATCAATAGATGACGTTACTGGTTGTCGGACCAGCCAACCTACAGTCTTCCAATCAAAACGCTGCTATACAACTTTTATTGACGAGGCTGACCTGAAGCATAGGAGGAAATAAAGGAAACCAAGGAAATATTAAGGTCGAATCCCGCTAACCTTTTGACCAATATGTTGGCCACGAAGGCATTAACATACAACGAAATCAATGACTGACTCACAAATCACAGTTGTAGACTCAAGTCACGTGACTTTGACTCGAATCAGACTCGAATCGCTATTTTTTGTGACTCGTGACTTGACTTGTATTAAACTATCATTTTTGAAGGCTTGACTTGGACTTGCAAAAAAATGATTAACTTGTGACTTGACTGGGACTTGACTTGAACTTGGTCAAAAACTTGTGACTTGCTTGTGTTTGGACCAAATTCACTTAGGACTTGACTTGGACTTGCAGAATTGACTTGCTATCTGTTACAAACCCTTCTTCATTGTGACATGTTGGGGGAACTTCAAGGACAAACTTCAGTGACTGCATAGTCACCAGGTCCCTAATTTAAATGCCGCCTATTGTCGAGTATGATTGGTTTTCACAGTAGGCGTAAGTGGCAAAATAAGGGACCTGGCGACTCTACGATCACCGACGTAAGGCTATGACACATTTAAACGCTTTATGTATATGTATATGATTTACCAGGCTGCTCCATCACTATCGTGCCCCTGTATCTGGCTGAGATCTCCCCGGTCAATCTACGCGGTGCTATCGGTACTTGTCATCAGCTAGCTATCACCATCGGCATTCTCCTTGCGCAGGTAAGCCAGTCTCACGCACAGGAGCTCCGTCTCCGGTCATTACGCACTCCAACTGAAACCGAACGTGTTGCATTCCACGCGACCCAGTGTATTTATCGAAGACAAGTTTATTAGTCAGCTTCGGAATATCTGAAACTGAGGAATGGTTGCTCGAGGTATAATTGTAAAACTGGCTTTGCAGAACTCCGAAATGTGGTGGCTAGCCAGATACGTAACTCCTTTACACTTTAGGTGGAAAGGCTTGCGGTAGCACCATGCAAGGAATATATATCTTATGAGTATGTATGGTTCTGAAAAGAACCTGGAGTATACTCAACGTTTCGGACTGCGTGCTCAGTCTGTCGTCAGGAGACTGAAGAGATGCTGAAATTGAAGCTGTTTATATAAGCTGACTGGATACAGTGGGGTGTGGATTCTACTGGGTGCACACTTGTAGTTTAGTTGGCAGTTGCATGCATATACGTTAGTCTCTGGTTCCAGTGGGCCGTCCTTTAGCTTGGTACGTAAATTCCCAACTAAAGATGGCTAACAGAAACGTGAAAGCTGATTATTGGATTTTTAGAATATCTATCTCTTTATAGTGTCTTAGCTGATACCAAACTTGCAATGCTCAGGCCCCTCAATACCACAACTCAATTTGCACAATGATTTCAGACTGCTTCAAATTGAATCACCTCAATCGTATGCTAAATCTGTCGTCTTCCATTTTTTTAATTCTACAAAAATCTGACACATTAATTGAGGTATGTTTTCTAAAACATGAGATACCGCGAAAGTATACATGGATTGCGTCTTTTAGCATAACGTTCCGTATTTGCCTGAAACTTTGTTCTAGGCTTTCGGTCTGTTCGTGTTGAACAAAGAGAACCAGTGGCCCATTCTGTTGGCCCTCACTGGGGTGTTTTCGGGCATCGAGATCCTGACACTCCCATTTTGCCCCGAGAGCCCCCGTTGGCTGCTCATCAACAAGAACAAGCCGGAGAAATGTAAAGCAGGTATGGGCTCGCTAATTCCGTACGTATCACTATGTGACGTTAACATACCAATCACAGGGTTCTCATCACTGCATGAAAACTCCCTGATTTCTCCCAAAGTTTTCCCTGACGAGTTTCAAAATTCCAGGATAAGTATTTCGACCTGTTTCCAGTTTGACAGATCTCTGGTGTGGTTGATGACTTGTCAGACGAGAGCAAAATAATATTATAGCTGACTACTTCCACTTTTGGGCCACTCACAGAGCCTGACTCTCCCCTGATTTGGGACATTTTTCTCAAATTCCATGACCTTTCCCTGTCTGGAAAAAGGGAAATTCGTTTTCCAGGTTCCCCTGATTAATAGGAAGGTATCCGGTTCGTAAGTGTGACGTCACTTCAATTTAAACCACGCCCACTGCACATGCACTGCACATAGAGTTCCATGCATTGATCGTTGTTTACATGGAACCATGGAACCGGAAGTTATCGCGTAACTTCAGCGATCGTCCAATGGGAACCTGCAAATCGTGGTGCATCCGCCTTTGTGACAAAGTCACATGTACGAACCAGATAGGAAACCTTGAAACAAGAGGAAGCTCATCACCCCAGTGTTTATCAAAGCTGGAGCGCTCCGTTTCATTAATTGAAATGCTTGGGTTTTTCCTTCGGTCTACAGCTCTTATCAGACTGAGAGGGGATGATGACGTGGATCGTGAAGTTACAGAAATGAAGGAGGAGGCCTTCAAGGAATCATCCACGCAAAAGGTTAGGCAGGAAGTGGAGGGCATTTAGTCCAACGACTGCTTGTTTGATCAGATCTAGTCAAATCCCACTCGAGCTGACCAGCCGACCCTGAAAGCTTGATGGTCGAATGGCAAAGACGTTCGTACCAGACAAATCAGCATCCTGGCCGTGGGTTCGAGTCCCACCAGAGTAAGCTTGTGATTTTTTTGGGCGAGCTCTCAGACAACTCTGCGGACACAGTGCTATGAATATACACAGACGTCAGTTTTTAAGGGCAGAACCCATGATTAAAAGCCCACAATGTCCATTCGACTCCAATCTGAAACCGGCCTTCATTTGACCACCCATTCTCCGATCAGACTGATCCCTTCGAATCAATTTTTAGAATGGAGTACTTCTGTTCTACATGTAGGTGGGCATGTGGTCTGTTGTTACCGCCAAGGATCCATCATGGAGGATGCCACTTATCATCAGTGTGGTAATCCACGCTGGTCAGCAGTTGTCTGGAATCAATGCTGTAAGTTTACATCTCAAACTTCATTGGCGTGAATTTCTCTTATTTTTTTATTTTTACCCCCCCCAAGAAAATAGATACAAAAGAGAGATAACAACTGCTTGGCTTTTGGGAATTAGAAAAGATGCATAGATGTACGGCAATAGTTCCTGTCAAAGACCTGTGTTGAAATCTTAATGAAAGGAGAGATAATTAGATAAAAACGAGCACGCCACTGATACATACACACATACATGCGGATACATTGCGTACAAATGCGCACAAATTGCGTACGCTTGCATTGCGTACATCCTCAAATCATTTTGATTTACATGGAACCACTGGACGTTGCGTAGCTCTTCTTTAGGCTGGATTATAGCTAAAGGGGATTAAGGGTGTACGTGGGTGTGTACGTGAGGAGAAAGGAAATGAGGTCATTTTTGCTTTTGAAGGAATGTTGATGGAAATGACGAAATTCCCCCAAACTGCACTGTTCTCTGAAGTTAGTTACAAAGTCTAATAAATTTGTTGTTTTATTGGATATTCTTTCAGTTTCAGAATAACTTTGCTCAAGACCTGCGTGAACAAAACGTACTGCGCATGTGCACAGTTCATCTTCTACACATGCTGCAAATAAATAATTTTATTTCTTCAAAAGAGATTGGAAATTTTGACGTTTGAACTCGGGTGGGAAACCTGGTGGGATCGAAGCAAGGAACTTTGGCTTTCTGGATAAGGAAATTTTCATTTTGATTTGCATGGAACCACTGGACGTTGCGCAGCTCTTCTTTAGGCTGGGTTATAGCTGAAGCGGATTATTAAGGGTGTATGTGGGTGTGAAGCAGTGAAATGCAAAATTCGTAGGATCCTCGACTTAGTCCTGAGTTGGCCTTTCTCTGATAACTTCAACGATTCTATTTTGAACTAAACTTCAGGTGATGTTTTATGCAACTTACATCTTCGAAGAAACAGGCATGTCCACGCAGGAAATTTCGTACGCAACAGTTGGGCTCGGCGGTATCAATGTGTTCATGACTATCATATCGGTGAGTGAGCTCTCAGCTGACAACCTTGCGAGTCAGTAGATGCCACATTTTCCCCATCACAGAATACAAATGGAACTAGTTCTGCAGGTTCGTGCTCTGATATAAACTAGATTAAAACTCGGTTTGGGTCCTCCTAGCATTCCAATGGTTGGTTCACACCGCCCAGATTTGATGTACGGTCTCACGAGTTAAGAAGAGCCAGTTTTTCAATAGTCTGGATACCAGACTCAAGGATTCTGACTACTCTATGGCCGTTTTCCAGGGCCGTTTTCCAATGCTCAATTCGGCTCCGTCTCATGCTTCAACTGCATTGTAGAGCACGTATTGCAGACCGGACAAGTCCCATACACTATGCACAAGCTAAGTGAGGGGTCCGTGTACATTTCGTCCATTCGTTTTTCGATTTAAAATGACAAACCAAAAACGAAACAAGTCATTTTCGATTTTCATTTGAACACGAAAACGAAAAACAAGACTTTTGTGTTTCATTTGAAAACGAAAAAAACAAAGTTCGTTTTTCATTTTCACAACGAAAATGGCAGTCATTCGCTTTTGTTTCTAAAGTAAATGCAAAAAACATTTTAATAATTTTAACACATTTTAATCTACACTTAACACACAAATAGGGGTTTTCTGTCACTGATGGCAGCGTAGATGTCCATTTCAAAAGTGCACGCTGTGCAGGCAGTAAGTTCCTATTGAAGGACCATTCTTGCTGTATAAAAGCACACCATCTCTTCTTCCCGAACAGATGGAATTAGTTACGATAATTAAGAGAGACTAGCACTGTTGTTTCAATTCCCCATCTCTTTGGTAGGTCTTTGTTGTTGAGCGTGCTGGCCGCCGTAAGCTTCTCCTCTTCCCGTTTGCCATCATGGCCATTGCGCTGGCATTGCTGACTGTCTCCCTCAACCTACAGGTAAGTAAATCTTGCCTCGCTTCTCATCCAACTACGTTGTTGGTCTATAATGAAACATTTCAACAGACTTGAAAATGAAGTCTAGCACCGCACTTGCGCGATTGCTCAGTGCTTTGTAGAGGCTTAAAGACTAAAATACCTCCATATGCCAAGTCGGGTGGAACTGCACCAACTACTTGCAAATTCAGTCAAACAGTAGAAAAGCAACAGTGACTAGAGAAACCGTTCAGCAAACCTCTCGCATGAACTGCACCATATTGGTAAGGTTTCTCACACAGACCACACTTGAACTTGATTAAAGAGACAGTCCTTCGTAGTGACTGAAAAAAGGGGTCAATGGTCCACTGGCATGATAACTTATAAACTGCCTTGCTGGGTATTTCTAATATTCGGCAATAAGCTACTTGTCATGTCTATAGACGGGCACAAAAGCTGTGAGGACACTTTACTGACAGTGACAGGGCCTGAACTGCTGAGAACAGTGCCCGACTGGGAACTGTCGGACTGCAAACCTTCAAAACGACACGAGATGTTCCCGAATGGAAACTTAAGTTCATATGCATGCATGCTGAATTTGGAACGAATCAACCTCAGCTACAGACACAGCAGGCAGAATGTAAAATGGTAATGTTGCACATTCAAAGGTGCTTCCTTACACCTGAGACGATTCCCAGACTTTCTACAGACCATGAACTGGTACAAGTATTATTTGGGTTGACAAAGTAATGCAGAAATATATAGAAACGGGGAAAGAAAAAAACCCTAACGCTGTCCAGATCTTGATTTTCGTGCTCGATCAATTTATGCAATGTTTGATGCCATACACAATTATGTATAAAATAACACACTAAAAAAAGTCCTGGTCCGATTTTTGTGACACTGGTGAGGAATGTACAGAAAATACAGTGCTTTCTTTTGTGACACAGTATTCACAATCTTATCTTAAAAAGACAACATGCAGTTGGTAATCAACCCAACTTCTTTTCATGCATATACTATGATTTGCAAAAATAGGGAACGAGATCTGTTCATTTTGTTGTCATCGGGAGCGAAACAGACATGACAGAAGGCGCTTGTTTTTCAATTCTTGGAAAATACCTTTTATCACCATTACAACATATGAAGCAAGATACGAGACGGAGAGAGCCCCATGCTTTGTGTTGGTCATTTTTTCACTGGAATCTGAGGAATTCTTTTCAGACGTGGGGGGGGGGTGTGTTATAGGTAACAATGGTCTAGAGTGTGTATAGTGATTGGACATGTAGGGGGAGGGTACCCCTGTCTCATTTCTTGCTGGATATATCACACAAGGCACTCCTTGTCAAAAGAGCACAAGACCAAGGATGTGCCAAATATTTGATCGATTATCGAATTTTTGAATATTACTTTCCGAATATAACTAATCGAATGTAAAATTTCTGAAAAGGTAGGGACTATTTTCTTTTGTTTTACATGAGAAAAAAATGCACTATGAGGCTTGTTTCAAGCAGGTTCAAATGAAAAGCAACAGAAATCTTACGATTCAAAAAGTAATTGAACAATATAAAAGGAATAGAAAGTTGCAACAAGGTAAGAAGTATTGTTCGTCTCTTAAATCTTTCTAAATGTGGCTGGAGATACTCCTGGACGTGAGAAGCTATTATTGTGACTCTTATGTACAATTGTGTGCATTATTGCAACTGATTTTGTATATGGTTTGTTCAACATTCTGCTGGTCACTACGACCGAATATTTAGATGTTCGATCGAATTGAGGGTTGAATATTCTCATAGTGAATTGTCCGAACTGACTCGGGGCAACGTGAGACCAGTACAAAAATCCATCCTTCAAAATCACTTGCCAACATTTGGAGACATATTGGCTACTGCCATTGTCCACACAAGCTATTTAAACTGAAAACCGAGTACATGTATTAAAGTGGAACCTAATCCAAGAAAACAGAAAAGTGTGACAAATATATTGCACACAAAGCTATCAAGACACTCATGTTCCGCCTACATCAATATAACTCCAGCTCATTAATACAAAACTTGTCATTACCATTAAACCCAATTCCAAATTGTCAAATTATCTCTCTCATTAGGAGGAGGAAAGTCATCAGAGCATGAGAATTAAGCAGCGCTTCATACATTCAAGTTATAAGAAAATCCTCTTCAACGATTCCTTTCCAACAGAAAGCAACCTACATGTAAATGCACGTTGTTACAATACATTTCCAAACGTACAAAAAGGGTAAAAGCTGTTACCAAATTAACAGATTAAAGAAAAGAACAGCACCGTTGTCATGTCCACGTAACATTTCAATTCACCGATAAATTTTTGGGTACTTGTGGAGGGATGAGATCAGACAAGAAAGCATGATAGGGCAGGTGAGGAGGATCCAAGAAAGAAGAAAGACCCATCTGACTGGGTAACTGGGATGATGTGGTTGAAGCCAGGGCCCTACGACATGGTTGAGACGTCTTGGAATATTGAGAAATCCTGCAAACTTTTGGTGCACCTCACCAGGTTTACGGTGACAATTTGTCACACTTACACATCTGCGTCATCCCTACCTGACCCCCGATATGCAGCATTTCAATAATTGAAGACTGATTGCTTCGTTTAAAACCAAAACAATGATCCAATCTGAGCAGGTTCGGGCTGCCCACTGATCCCCAGAAGGGTGCACCCGTGGTCTGGGGAGTAAACTTGGGCTCTCCCTTGTTTGGGATAGATCTTTTTTCCATGAGGAAATTGGAAATTGGCCTACATGATTTCCCACTGGTTTTAAGCCTGTGCTGCCTACGCGGCAGTGAAAATGCTCTGTCAATGTTAGTCCATCTTGTTTGTCAAGCTGTTTTTCCCTATGGTTGAGATGATCGATGACAACAGGCATGATGCCAAGGTACAGATTGCTGTGAAAGGGACATGTTTTGTCATATGGCCCACACTGGAAAACAAAATGGCGTTCGAGATGCAGGCTGTTTTTATATGAAATGCCTTTTATTTGGGTGGATATACTGCATTTTGAAGCTGAAGTGATACTTCCATTCCATTTTTTGATTACGGTCGGTTACTCTGTTGAAAATTAACATTTTATTTCCTGGACAATAGAGGACAGTGGGCCAAATGTGAAGCGAGAGAGACACTGGTGTGTACCCACCATGCCTCTTAGTATGTATGCGCATACACTGAGGATTCTGCTCAGACGATCGCCAGAATTAATCGTAATTTAAAAACTGTTTCAACTGTCTGCATCTGTGTCTGCACCAGTTGCAACAAAGTGTTCCCACGGCTGAACGGCTGGGGACTTTTCGGTGATGCTGTCTCCATCTACATGCATTTATGCTCACACAGGAACTAGACTTTACGGTTTCCCAATTCAATGTCACGGCATCTGGAAATTACACACTATAAACCCAAACTTTAAAAATTCCAGCTGCACAAAGCAAACGTTGGAGGGGAAATCCAACCTTTTCATATGCTTTACAAACACACACACACAAATGCTGGACAACAGCTCAATTGTCTCTTGCAGACAATGTACAAGCTGTTACTTTAAAATGAAGTGCAAAAAACAGAGTGAAAAGCATGAAAATTATAAAGGAAACATTCATTATGGTCACAACAAGACTATGCTAATAAAAAAAGTTTCATCTACAATGATCATTTTCAGATAGTTGAGGTAGCTCATTTCACAGAATTCAGACTCTCACAAATCAGTCATACCAGTAATTATGTAAAAAGAGTGAACCTACACAACTTTCTAGTGGCAGGTTCTGTCTACTATCAAGGAAAACATTACAGTTTGAATGTATCATTGAAAATCAACGCTAATTATTCCTGAAGGATCTGGTAACATACCGATACCTCATATATGGGTAATTCCAGAAATTAGGGGTCCAAAAGTGCGCCATTTTTGTGTACCTGTTACATCTGACCTTTGTTATTTGACATGGAAGTATTATCGGAATTGATTTCAAACTATTAGTATTTGTTTGGCGGGTAATTTGCATTAATTCATCACTCTTAGAAATCAGAAAATGTGTTCTGAACGTACAAAATCACGTCAGATGTAACAGGGGACACGAAAAAAAGGGACCCCTAATTTCTGGAATAAACTGTATCCCATATCTCACTATTTTGGCAGTTTTCTTCCCCGGGAAAACACCATTTAAGCTCAATCTATGAAGAGACTGGTCTCTTTCTTTATAAAATGTTAAACACTGCATCTTGTTTGCAACAAAAAACATTTAAACATGTTTCATCAACTCACAAAGTAAGGCACTATCTGGCCGAATTTTTGGACTTCAGAATGAACTTTTCAACAAGAACTGCACGTCCAGTTCACTGGAAACATCAGGTCCCAGACCACCAAAGACAATTTGAACTGAACCCAAACCCATAATGTTTGACAAAGAAAATGAACCGACTTGAATTCAGTCTTACAATGTGTATTTGAAGTTGCCCCAGAAATGTGTGTGAAAACCAAAGTCATGACTTTTCCGGGACTTTCCAGGACTAAAGTCTGACAACTCAGCTGAAATTAAATGGCATCATACAGAAAAGTTGAGTCGTATTATGATCTCGAAGACTGCCATAGCCACTAGTAGCAGCTGATAAAAGCTGGTAAATTGATCACAGTTCTGTTCATCACATCAAAAGCAGCATATAAAAAACTTCATCATAGCACGATCTTGATTTCTAGGACCTTTTTCCTGCCGACAACAGAATTATTCTCCACGACTTTTCCAGAACGTTTTTTTGCCCCCAGAATTTTCCACAATTTCCGATAAGTCTGGAAACCCTGGCTCGCTAATCTTCATGCACTGGCTGGGTGGCATGCCATCTGAACCCACTGCTGTGCACGAAGAAATGAATCAACTGCACGTTACCTGTTGGTTGGTACAGGATACTGAGGCCATGTTTGTTTCAAACAGATCCAGATCATGGTCGTTGCTGGTTTTAACAGGTGCAGACCAGCATTAGTATCACTGATTTAGATCCATTTGAAACAAACAGGGCCTGTGTACAATGCGGTGGACTCGTTGCATGCAGACTGTTGTTTGCTTGCAGGTGAATGTAAATCCCCAGTAGTAGGAGCTCTAGACAGTCACCATGTAAAGATTGGTTATGAGTCAAACTACTGACACTTTGTTCTATCTGGTCGGGGCGATGCAGCAGGTTCAGAGGTTACTGGTCAGTGTTCCTCTGTGTCGAGGGCGCTGTATCTGACTCCATCGGAATTACCATCCAACTGCATATTAAAGAAAGGGAGACAAACCAAGAAATGGAGGTTTAATGGAATACCAAAGTTCCATTGCTACAAGTCATTCAATTGCCAAGATAACCAAGACCAAGAACTGAACAAGATCAGTTGTAGTTTACTGTTTTCTCAATCATTTAAGTGCAATGCATTAAGAGTCTACTTTTGGAACAATTTGGGGCTGTACCTTTGAAGTGTCAACCCTACCGCCATTGGCCATACATGTAGGGGACTGAAAGTTATGACCCAAACAGTTGACGATGCTTATAATTGTGTACAGGTTCATAGGTGCATGTGTACACAGGCACACATAAATGAGTAATAATGTAAATGTACATAAGGATTACACAAACAAGATGTCTCCATTAGGTGCATGCAGTTAAGCTTCGCCTGGGTGGCCGTGCGCATTAAAGAGCAATGGAAAATATATTTGTTGCAGGTTCAATCTAAAAAAAAAAAGAGTTGTTGGAGGTGTTATTGAAGAAAGAATGTTCTCAGGAGTTGGAGAATGGACGAGGAAGAGTTAGCATCAAAGGGGAAATGAGTGCATTTGTACGGCAGAAGTGAAGGAATTAAATAGGCTGATTAGGCCTTATCTGCAACTTGTAAGAGGGTGTAGTTGTCAATTTGTGTTCTCTTGTACTGTCTGCGATCCGGTATTTATCTGGACACCCACCTCACCTCCAAATGGGAATTTAAAGTTGTTCCTCTACAACAAATTTGACACGTCGCCATATTTGGGTCAGGATTGTAGTTCCATTGATTGTCATGTCTTAAAAGTGGCCGTGCAAAGGCATGTGTGTTATGCAGTGACCCAGTGACTCATGGCAGCATTATGGTGCATTAGCCTGTAAGTTGATATACAGTGGATCATAGTATTTTGTGAACTGAATCAATTGCCTAAAATTTAAAGGTATTTGTGTAACTTTGCTTCCGTTTGTCTAATTTAAAGGCTTCCTTCGACTGGATGCGCTGGCTGAGTCTGGTTTTCATCTTCCTATACATCATTAGCTTTGCTATTGGTCCAGGTGGGTCGGATTGTGTCTGTAAATGAACGAAGTTTCAACACACTGTTTTATTTGTAACCTCACACCTTGGAACACGTTTGTGAGTCTCAGTTGTGAGTGGTTGGTAACCCGGAACCTCATTTTGTTTGGGCATGGCTTGAATATGCCATTTGCAACACCAACCTAAATACACATTGAGGTGTTCAAGTGATATGTTTAACCTACAGCCTGTCTGAGGGCATCGAAATGTGAGAGGTTCTTATGTAATGAAGTTTGAGTTCACTGAGGCTTACGTGTGGTAATCAGTATGTAACCAAAAGGCTGGTATTTGGAATGTGATTGGTGTGCATGAGGGTCACCTTAACTGACCCAATGTGATGATCACAAGGGTCAGCTGTGACATTCGGCTCATGACTTCAAAACCTCTCTTGACTTGCTCGAAGTAACCAGACATCTTCCCTCTGCCTTTGTTCCAGGACCCATCCCTTTTGTGATTGTTCCTGAGCTGTGGGCCCAGGGGCCTCGCCCGGCGGCCATGTCCCTGTCGGTGCAGGTCAACTGGTGGTGCAACTTCGTCGTTGGTCTTTCCTTTCCATTCATTCGGGTAAAGGAGAACTACATGTATTTGAACTTCTGTCCACTGAGAGGTGACACTGCAGCCGTATGTTCTGTGTGGAAGTTAACACGTTGACTGCCGACTGCGAGTAAACTCGCAGGATATGAAAGGCTGTTATAATGTAAATTGAATACATGTACACTGGCATCACCAAAGAACACAGATATGCTATTGGCAGTGTGGAGGGCATACATCCGTAAAACGCTCATGTTCAAACCAGGTTCAAACATCTGAAAGGTACCTGTTAAATATGTGTCCATGCGTAAAATGCTTGGCAAATAGGAATGCTCCTTTGAAATTATACGCGGCAGTCAACGCGTTAATTGATTCACCTGAGAGGAACATGGTGGTTGTGTCCATAGGCAGGATATTTCGCTCCTATTTGACTTTGGCAACCAAAAGCAGTAGTCTGAATGATAAGATGCCATCAAAGTAAGTTGACCAATGAGACCTTGTCTGATACATGGCAGACTCCAAAAAACAAAATTCTTCAATTCTCCTCCAAAAAGGAACCCAACATCTTGGTTTTCTCACTCTAACTTTCTCGTGTCTCCCCATCACAGGATGGCATTGGAGCCTACTCTTTCTTGGTCTTTATGGGGTTTGTCATTGTCACCACTATCTTCATCTTCTTCTTCATCCCGGAGACCAAGAACAGGACCTTTGAGGACATCTCCTCCAGTTTTGGAAGGAAGAAGGAGATCAACCAAAATGACTACGAGCTTCAGGAGAATCAGTAGGGAGTCTCGAGTGCAGAGCTTTTTTGCGGGCCCACATTTGTACGGCGTTGCTTAGCTGTTTGACAAGTTGGAGCCGAGTGCTTCCAAACTGTGCATAACTGTATGAGTTACAAGCTGGTAGTCAGTTTGCTTGGCAAAATCTTCCTCAAGTAAACTTCCTCAAGCTACAGGAGGCTTCTTAAATGATAAAAGCCAATTCTTTGATTGGACTCAGGGAAAAATGTGTAAAACCATAGATGTAGAAGGACTGTGGTGCGTCATGTTCAACACTGGCTCTGAGAACCGGAACAACAATGCACCCTGTGAGCCTAGCAAGAAATGATATCATGCCATTTTATACTCTGACAATCACTGTAGCATCTCCAAAGTCACGCTTACAATCCTGGACAAAATTATTGGGAGACACGTCAACAGCCATTCCAGATCCCCCACTCCCCCGGTCAATGTTGTCATGTCGAGCTGGAGCGCAGACCCTGCATTGAGACCCAATACTGACGGGGGGGGGGCCTCAGGTGGGGGCCCAATGAAATTTGACCAGGATTGTAGCGTGCGATAAAAGTGTGTAGTGTGATCAATGATCATTTTTTACACCGTGCGGTATTTTGAAGCATTCATTGTAAACGATTCACCAGTATGCACTTTTGGGTCAGTAAATTTGTTCATAGTACTGCTTAGTTTGCGTTCTTCAGATAATCTGCTGTCCCACTGCCACTTTGAGAATATGTACCCATGTGAGTAAGTTGACTTCAGTATGACCAGTGATTACACTTACGCATGTAGATGCATGAACGTACATACATTCCCAGTACTAAATGTTTCACCTTGGATTTAAATAAATGTACAGACTTCCTCTCTTCAAAGGGTAGGGTTTTGAGGGTTTTTACATTGAGGTTAAAGCATCTGAACACATTTCTAAGTAAATCACTCTGGGCATTTTGAGTTTTAAGTTCAAACAGTCAACTGCTAAAAATATAAACGTAAAGACTTGAAATCTTCAATTTGATATACGGGCAATGGTTGTACCAGTGTTTCCTGACTGAATCCCCTATTCTCTCTGCTAGTACTAGTTTGGTCATTTTGCCCTGGAATGAAAAACTGTACATATTCCCTTGATCACTTAACCTAATCATAATTATTCAACTTACCAAAATAAATAGAACTAATCTTCTAGATATTTTCTCAACAAATCTGATGCATATTGTCTGTTCTTGCACTATTTAAATAGCTGTCCTGAACCCGAGTGCAAACGTTTTTCGATTTCGTTTAAAAGTACACCACCAAGTGAAAATAAATGTGGAAATACTTTGAATCACGACTTACATTTTGTGTTTATGGATTTGATTCTGTAAATATTAGAAATTCCTGAATTTGGGATAAAAGTTGTAATAGAAAGTGTAGATAGAAAGTACTGTGACAATGTCTAAAAATCAGTTTGGTTCTCAAAGGACTGGGAAGCAAACAACCAATTCTGCTGCTGTATATTCTTGTAACACCAATTACTCTCCTCTTAACATGTTTAAGTACGGTCTAAAATAGCCTTGTGTACTGATGATGTCGCACTTTGCTTTAACACCTGTGCGGTTTCTATGGGAACCGGGTGGGGATGACAAGTTTGAAGCTCCACAGGAAACCATACATGTAATCAATGCGAGATGGAGATGTCATCAGTACACAGGCCCGGGTAGTTGAAAACTCTTGGAACTTGGGTGTCTTTAGACAATCAATCCCGGTAAGAACAAGAGATACATGCATTTGTAGCGGAATGCACATGTAATACTGACTAGCTTTCTGTACTCTGAGGGTTCCCCCTACCTGGAACATTACCGGAGTCTTGCATGGGTGGTTTTAGTTCAGAATCAACAATTGTGAGCTACGTGTGCAGTTCCATCAGACTATCAGTGTCAGCTTGGGAAATGTTTCAGTGTCTCTAGTGTCAGCCAAATGAAATTCTGTCGGTGTCATTTTAGACGAGAACCCGTCTTTTTATGTTCTAGTACATGACTAAATACATGTTGAAATAAAGTATCAGGAATCTGTAACTATGTAGGTCATCAGTGATGAACTATGCTGAATTGCTGTGATTGTTTTAAAATGTGATTTACCCTAACTTAAACTTTGATAGGTGACCATACCAAAGATTATTAATGGATTGTTGCAGTGTACAATGCAAGAATTAAAGTGAAATGGTTATTATGTTTGATATTGCATTTCAAAATTTGAAATAAATGCAGAGTGAGGTTTTGCCAAACTCAGGGTCATGTAAAAGACAAAACAAGTTTCCTCTCCTCGTCTGCTTCCTTTTCCCCGACCATTTCATTTTCAATACATGTTATTTTTAAATGCCAAATTAAATATTTAATGCAGCCTGCGTTGGTCGTCGCCTGACAGTGTTTTCTTGGGTATGACTTCTAGAAACTACCACAGTCTCCAGTTTCACTCCTTCAAAATTCATACATGTACCATCAACATGTTTGATTACTCCAATCACGCTTCATTGTGGTGTTGTCGTAGACGGCACGTGCAAAACATGGTAATAAATGATCAGTTAGGGGTGAAAAGGTAATTGCAACATACAGGGTACAATCCACTCACTCTAGCCCCATTGAAAACAGTGTAAGATCAGCACTGTTCAGGGCCCAATAGCATGCACGCCAACATCCCTGAGATTCCTGAAACACAAATGAAATTCTTGTCTGGTCACTAATCTTTCAATTTCTTTTCAATTTTTTTGTGGGTTAACCAATCACATTTTTAATTATTCCCACAAAACAAAATCACCCCCCCCAAAAGTGAATTTTCCGAAGTCTGATTGCAGCCATTATTCAAGTGGCAACCCTCAACTTTCTCGGGCACTTAAGACCATTTTTCAACCGTAGTTTGTACCCTTCTGCTCTCATATGAAAGCTCAAAGACCCAGGGAGCTGATCCCGGCAACGATTTACACAATCTCACCATTTTGGGGGCCAAACAATCTCCTTTTTCAAAAGATACTGTGGGTGGGGGCACTTTTAATGATAATAAGCTGGTCAGAAATTCTCACTTGAATTAGTGGTCTGCACCCATGAATTCCAGCTGCTGAAAACAACGGATATCCACACTCACACACCTTCATTTCACAGAACTCACTTGACTTTATCTCTACATACATGTACACCACTTTCTGAACTATCCACAATGGCATCAACTTCCCATCATTCAACTAAGCCCCCATAGGTTTGCACAGCATTATGGGATACTTCCCCTAGTAACTGTCTTGGCGGGTTGGTTACTAGGCCCGAGTAAGCATGGGGAAAGCAATCGAATGCGCTGTAATGTAACTAGTATACAAAGGTGAGCATTCCCCCACCACTTTATTTTAAAAAAATGCTCATGACAAACTGCCGATTTTTTTCCTGGCTTGAGTGGTAGAGGAATGCTCCTCTGTATATTCAAAGGAGGTACATGTACACGTTGGCCAACGTGCAGATAACACATGAACAACTGTTGAGTGTACCCCGCCTCCAGCAGTACAGCGCCACCTAGGGACACCTACGGTAACTTGCTTGACCCTGGACCTCTGCGTATTGTTAGTTGTCATACAACAAGCAGTATCTCCACAGGATATGCCTCCATGATATTTTCTTAGACGTCACGATACCTTTTGTTTTCACGCTGATCTTTTTTTGAGATTTTCCAGTACACGTAATGTCTTGCCATCAGACACCAACACAAACGTAGACAAACCCCTCTGAGGTCATGCCCATTTTTTCCCGAGACGAATGGCCCACATGTTCACCAAGACTTTAATCATTCTAGAGCTTGTGCCAGTGTTGCATTTGAATTGACCACATCTGAGTCTGAATCCTTGCAACCGAGTCCATTCAGTTTGAGTGCTAGTCAAGTCTGAGTCCTCAACAGTCGGAGTCCACGAAAAGTGGACTTGAGTCCAAGTTTGGACTCAAGTCATACAACACTAGTTGGCACACGGCTCTAACAAATGCTTGCCTCAAATCACAAACTCAGTGACAGTGTGGGTGATGCGGGGATTTCAGACTTGAATGCAAAGATGAAATCCTTGATATTCTTGAATACACTGATATGACGTATTGGTATCTCATGTTTGACAGAATACATATTAAAAATTGACCATTGTTGTAGTCGAGCCCATCAAAGTCCCAGCAAGTCCATTCACAAGTCTATCACAAGTCACTCAGTCTCAAGCCAACTCACAAGCTATTGAAATAAACTGTGGCAAATGCATTCCTTTGTCAATGATCAGCCCATTACTCATGACTGGTCTTGTGAAGGGACTTGTGATGGACTGGACTATGACGTTGCTTAGGGCCACAAAAACCTCCAATTCATCCCTGACATCAGATGACAAAGGGGTGACTGCTTCCTCCTCTCGCAACCAACAGGTACCTCCAAGTATTAATGATTCCATCACCCCCGTGTTGTAGTCGAGACCATCATAAGACCAGTCACGAGACCATGCACAAGACCAGTCATGAGACCATGCACAAGACCAGTCACAAGTAACAGGGTAAACAATGTGAAAGGAATGCTGATGTTGTTGCGGTTCATTTGAACAGCTTGGGACTTGAAGTCAGACTGGAGGTCTTGTGTTGGTCTTGTGAAGGTCTTAAGTGGTCTCCACTACAACACTGCATCACCCACTGCAATTAGATCCAATAACGCAGACAACACAAAAGCAGAAAGAAGTTTGGAAACAGATGTGCACATGCAAGATTTTTTTATTTTGAAATCAAAAAAGGAGACAGCAAACACACAGTGGCATAACTAGAGCTGCATGTTGGGGGAGGGGGACCCAGGGGAAAACTACTGGGTGCACACACTTTTTTTGAAGGGGGTTGCAGCTGCAACTACAAAGCTGCAGCTCCATTTCAAAGGAGATTATTGACAGATTTCAAATGGGGGGGCACGGGCATCCGCCAAGAGGGCACATCCCCCTCCACCATAGTTACACCACTGCAAAAAGAACAAAGGGGGAAATGATGACAATGCATTGTCAGTGCAACATTAACATGCACCGTAAGCAGCATATTGATTAGTGGCATTAAGTAGCACGAATAAGCAGGCTTGATTACAACGCAACAAAAGCAACAAAGCTAGAGACAAAAGACAGCAGTTAGTGGAAATCAGACAGTAGTTTGAAACTGGCTTAGTGACGGAACATGCACTGGCTCAGAGTGAAGAAGACAAACGTGCAGAAGTTAAACCCACATGGTGCAATGATGACGACGTGATTATTCACCCTTGTCGGAGACTATAGACCCTTGCTGTGTTTATGGTTGACTGCACAGCAAGGCCTTGGATTTCATCTGATCAACTTTTGGGGGGCTTATCCCTGGTCGGCAGCATTCAACTGGGAGGCCCTGGAATGGCACTTAGGAGTCCTTATTTTCTGAATGGCGCACAGTTTCATGCAATACAAATGGGCCTGCTGCTGGTGGGGGACGAGACGAGGGTGGCTGAGGGGCCAGGCACCCTCAGTTGGCAAAAACTACAAGCATCAAAATTCCCCACAGGATTGATCACAGAGGGGGCGTGCTTTCAAAACCAAAAATCAACAGACTTAAAACATAATAATGTCACACTTTGTTTACAAACATGATGACAAAATGAGAGTAAAGTCGAACTCTGCTATTATGATGGTTTAAAGTCAAAGATTGAGGGGAGGTCAATTTGGGGGTTTTGAAATATGTGGAAAGACTAACCCTTCTATTAAATTCCAAATTTTTAGCAAGAACAGATATTTAAAAACGTCAGTTTCATAACAATTCGGACAAAAGCAGAATAATGCCACATGGTCACCAAAATGTACTTTTACCAAAAGCGTTAGATACCATTGGAAAGGTCCTTTTCAGCTGATATAAAAAAAATCATATAAACTTCGCAATTTTTGAAATTTTGACTTTTAGCTCATTTTCTGTTACAAGTCACAGATGCGCTTTCCTGTGGGGGCTGAATGGGTCATGGCCCACCCCACTACCAAAGGAAAGTATAGCTGTATGTAAACAAAGCATGATGTCATTATGTTACAGGTCTATTGGGCTAGCAATGCTGGCCACAGCGGACCTTGTCTAAAGAGTCAATGCCTTTTTTACAGCCTCAGCTGTGATTAGCAATCAAAGAGGCTCGCAACGCTCACTGACAAAAGGGTGAACATACACGCAGTCATCAATCCACATTATCCCAGTGCCATGCCCAAAAAACCAAGCCCCTACTGAGAGGTCCTTTTTCTTAAAAACACTCCAGATTTCCATTAAATGCCATGTCCTACCCAGCAGTTTGAAATCATTTCAGTGCTCTAGGCATTTATAAATGTATCATAATTTATAAAAAGATTAAAAAAAGCACACTTTGAGAAATAATTTTTAAGTGTTTTGGCCAATGACAAAAAAGCACTTGTATGCAGTAAAAAATTAAAAAGGTCATTCATAATTCCACAAAGTATAAAAATATGTTTATAAATGACATGTACATTGTACATAATATTAAGCTCCTGTTAGTAAACTGATCTACCAATGTATTTTGAAATGAAGGAACTTTCAAAGAATTTTGATATGTTTGGACCTAATTTCTTTTGTGAAAATGAAGTAAATAACAAGTTTAATAGGCCCTCCATATTTTGTGAAGTCTATGGAAGAGCAAATGGAGATAAAGTTAAGATCAAACAAACCCCCAATACATAATGACATTTAAACTGGAAAACATAAACATGCAGAGGTCTGTCTAGTTAGAGAAATTGTGCGAGATATTGCTTGCGGTAAACTATTGCAAACTCAACAAATCTTGACAGCAGATAGCAAATAATGGTTTGGTATGCATGAGTCGTATCTCCTCTCACTCCAACTTGCTCCTTACAATTGTCTCCCTAGCGAATTTTTCTCAGGTTACTGAACGGTTTGGTGAAGAAAAAAAAATCAATCACAAAACATTTACTGGACAGAAATGTACATTGACAATTCAAAACTTTCTATCAACTGTGGGTGACTTACAGTAAGTAGAAAGAACCTTAATTTTCAATTAGTTTTCAAGAATGCAAGTCAGGTTCTGGTAAGCAGCTTGGCAATAAGGCCAGAGAAGCCTACCTTCACCTCATTAAGGCCTGATATTAGTCCAGAAGTTGCTACGAAGAGCCTTGCCTGAAAACTGGAATCCCTGCAATGTTTTTCTTCAAATTTCACACGGGGATAGGCCACTGTTCATGGCCACATGTACATGTACATTGATGTACGGTGCAGTATTAAACTATAACCCTGACAGTCCTCAGTCCTTCACCTGTTGGAGGACTGAGGACTGTTAGGGTTAATGGACAATTCAGTGCTATTCAGAGAACAATTTTTTTAGAAGAATGTCATGAAGAAAGTGTTGAAGGAATATTCACATGCCAATGCTTGGTAAATCTGAGCTGGGGTGGTCTATTCAAACATGACAAACAAACCACAGCATTTCCATGGAGAGTAGAGGATTACAAAGTGAGTAAACAAGAGAACGCTTCATGCATTTGAACACCAATGGATGTGCAACGTGTACACAGAGACAAGTTTGCCAGCTATGAATACAGGTAAATAAGGAAAGGAAAGTTAAAGTAATACACGTGGTGTGAAGGAATCGTTTAATACAATAAGAGACAAGTTTGCCAGCTATGAAGACAGGTAAATAAGGAAAGGAAAGTTAAAGTAATACACGTGGTGTGAAGGAATCGTTTAATACAATTAGACTGAAAATAAAAGTTAACTGTAAGTGTAGAACAGATGAAGAGAACATTATTGAAAAGGCACTGTAAACAGGTTCATTTGTCACAGCTAACCTTTAGGCCTAACGTCTGTAGTTTTCAATAATTTACTGCAAAGACACTGACACCAACGCTGTGGAAGTTGTCAGGATAACTCAAAATCCAGTGTGCATGTGATATAGAGCGTGTGTGGGTTTTCACTGAAGGCCAGCTACAACTCTTTCTTTTAGGTTCCATTCAGACGAACTTCGTTTGCCGTAAACAAAAATCTTGCGACAAAATCTAATGAACTTTTTAAACACATTTTGCAGAGAAAATGAAAGAGAAAACTTCTTTGGACCCATACTCCCAAAGCCTTTATTCAATTTTGTCTTGCCTTTGTGCGTATTTCAATTACAGATTCTTAACCAATAGGCCTCAAGTTGTGATTACGTGGCCCGAAAAATTCAGAGCTACGACCAAATAATAAAAAATAATTGCCCAATACGAAGAAATTATTAAAACAGGATCAACATGCACAGTCTGGAATTTCTCAAATTTCAACTGTGAGGTTCAAGATCACTACTTGACAAAATCTGAGGAGGTTGCTTATTGCCTTGACAGTCAATCACCTCAGAAAGCTGGAATTGTGAGTGGCCCTTCAACACATGCTATCCTGGGTTTAATAGCCTTAGAAATCCACAGCGGTTAGTGAGACATATGTTAAATTGCATCATTTTCAATAGTGCGAAAGCTCTCGTTACTCACTCCGGCTTCCTCGGCCTTGTTGGACTTGTCCTTGAAGAGGGCGCTGATCTCTTCAAAGCTCTTGTTTTTGGTCTCCGGCACGAAGAAGAAAGTGAAGACGAAGAAGATGACGAGAAGAACAATGAAGATGAGGAAGACGTAGTTCTGCAAGGCATTCTGTCAAAAGAGAGAAAATCCCCAAAGAGACAATCACTGGGGCTGACCCTGATGGGCAAACTTGAATTCCCAAACACACAAGTTGGCTTTTAAATTGGAGACAAATTTTGATGAAGCAAGAAAAAACTGGCACTCTGTCGACGTGACTAGCATTGTACATCATGGGTTTCCAGAAATTTCATTCCCTGATTTTTTGCCTGTTGTTTACCTGTAAACACTACATTTACTACACAGATTCACTGAATAGGGTCAGGTAGCTCCAGACTAAGGCCCATTTACAGGACTACTTCCATATCCTTGCACTTCACCAAAACTAGAAACACAGGGACTTTCCGATGAAGGGCCTCTTATTTCAAACATGGTTTCATTCACCTAAACAGTTCATTAATCCAGCCGAACTAAAACCTCCTGACTGTTTTTGCTCATGATATCGTGGTCTCTATTTTGTCATCTCAATGCTGCTATTCCTTTACTACACTGATTCATTCCCAATCATTGAATGGGCCGATAAACACAGTCAGGATCTTTTGGGTCTGGGGACCAGACAACAATAAATACCGGTATGTAGAGCCCAATGGCTGTTTCCTCAGTAGCTTCGGGTCAGGCAACTGGGCACGGGTGATGAAGCCATCCATGCTTATCAGCCCAGCGAATGTATTTGCCGTTGAGCATTGGTAAGAGTTGCAGGTTGTGTGGTGGGCCGGGCCAACCAGATGTGTGCCTCAATCCCAACAAGGACTTTTATTGCAGCCTGCCATAGTTTAACGTTCTTTGACACCACTGTAATCTTGGGATCTACTTATTTACCGCTGTCTGGTTCCCAGACCAAAAAGATCCTGACCGTATTAATCACCCACTCCACAACTGGGAGTGAATCCGTGGATTAAATAAATAGCAGAGCTAGACAAAATAGACACGCTAACAGGGAACGGTTGGGGAGCTTCAGTTCTGGTGAATCAATAAACTGCTTGGGTGAGTGAAGTCATACAAAAATATGACACTCATAGGAACCTTGTTAGAGAGTGATGGCTTTTGATCTAGTTTGGGCGTAGGGCCAAGGACACGGAGGTAGTCCAGTAGAGTGGCCCTAGTCTGGGACCAGGGCCACTGCATGCCTGGACAGCCTTATTTTACATACGGCCATGCTTCCTGTAGCATGGTTGTTAGGGACTCATAAATGTACTTGAGGCATTCTGGCAGGCCCCTCTCCATTCTCAAGGGTGACCAAACCTGTCACCACGGTGATACATTCCTTTTGTAACACGTCCACTCAAGTATTCTGCCTTGGATACATGTAACTGATTTTCACATCACTCCCAAAGAGAGTCCATCAAATGGAAGAAATACCTAAACACTGCACTGGCTTCCATATCCAGATTTTATACAAAAGTAGTGTTGTTAGTCTATCCCAGACACCCCCCCCCAAAAAAAGACATTTTTAAAAAAAGACACGAGTTCATTTACTTGTAGGATCGGAAAGAGAAGTCCCACAGCAAAGTTGGCAGTCCAGTTGACACAAAATGCGATGCTTATAGCAGCTGGCCTGGGTCCCTGGGAGAAGAGCTCGGCCACTATCAGCCAGGGTATAGAACCTGTTGGGGAGAATGGATCCACTCCAGTTAGTTGGCCATGAAGGGCACCATTTTCATGGCTCAGCTGACCATGGTGATAGGATTCTATGATCACTACTCTGAGTTTAAAGCATTAGCAGATTTTTTTTAAATACGTCTATCAAAAGTCAGTCGCAAGTCAGTCACAGTTCAGTCGCATGTCAGTCACTCACTCTAGTCACTCTACTTTTGAAAATTCTGACTTTCAGCTCATTTTGTGGTGACGGGTCACATGACAACAAGACAGGGACAACCACATTTTCCACTTTACCTGGCCCTATGGCAAATCCTACTGTAAAGAACATAACGCACACAATGCTGACGTAAGATGCAGGAGACCAGGAATCCTTCGGGAAAGAAAAAAGATGAAACTGAAATAACCGTGTCCCAGAAAAGAAAAGACCATTTGAGGGGAATCAATACAAATGAAATCTGTTTGTCAGACAGACATGACTTTGACTTCACTCTTGAGGTTTACCCTTTAGTCCCTATTACAAGGCATTTTTGCAAGTTACGGAATGCCCCAGGAGGTGGAAAAGCCATTGGCCGGTTGTGACGGATTTAAGTCAGAAGGTTCTGGAATGGTTTGTCCAAATAGGCAAAACTGGAAATTAGGCATGGGTCTGGAAAGACAGAGGTGGGGCTAACAGACAGCCCGAGGGGCGGCTCACCTTGAGGAAGAGGAAGCCTGTTAGGAAGGCCGCCGCAACTGTCATGGTGCCCAGCCCAATGAGGTGCAGCAAACGCCGGCCGCTGCGGTCCATCAAGGGTACCTGAAGCGCAGAGAGCGTTACAAACAATCCACAATGTATGCAAACTCTTGAATGCCCTGGTTCAAACTAGTGACTAGGTTTTGGCTCTCAGTTCATCCTCATTAACTCCTAAATGCTGAACTCCCAAAAAAAGACAGGACAACGTCAAGGCACCAAGCCAATTAAAGTTATGGCAGCTTGGATGTACTTCACTAAATCACACAAACACAATTTGGCAAGTTTAGAAATTGGAAGAGGTTATGACCTTCCTACTGAAGGGAAGAATTCACTAAGAAGGGCTTAGCCTCCTCCAACTCTTAAAGTTTGAAACTTTATGGGTACACTAAACTTGAGAAAGCCACAGTACTCACACTGATGATAGTCATCAGCACCATAACAGCACCTGTGCTCAGCGTGGCATATTTCGCATTGTCCCCTGGCACTCCAGCTGTGATGAAGATATCCGAGGAGTAGTACAGCACCTGTTGCACAGAATGAACAAAACGAAAGAAGAATGCGAAGACTCACAAAGATCACAATAGACCTTTTTTTTCCCACCCACGTGACTGGATGGCGCTAAATGTAAACAATACCACTGGGTCTGGACCGCCTTGGCCACGGTGATTGCATACATTCCTACGGGCAGCTTCAACCACGTGCAAATGCACGTGCGCACACTGCACGCTTGACTAGTTTATCTGAAATAGGTAGATTACCTACCGTTACAACACTATGCACTCATTACCATCACAACACAGCGGTCCAGCGCGATTGTGACATCACAGGAAAAATGTCTATAGGAGTGCCTACTGTACCTCCATAACAGAAGGCACAGTGTGCACTGACAGCTCTTAATCAATTAACCTATTGCCAGTTGTGAGTCAGCTTCACCCCTTTGACAACTTGGAACACGTGTACTGGTGTGTACAAGCTTGAGAGTTCAACTCGTCAGGCGCCCCTGGGAACATGAATGGCGTGAGTTGGTTTTGCCAATTTCCTTGCATGGTTGACACCAGCTCCCAGGGATACTGTACACAAAAGGTCGCTTTACAGCCACTAACGCTAACCAGTTAGGAAAGCACGGGCAGGAAGTGTTGCATCGCCAGTCCAGCGGTCTACTGTCCCGGACATACCTACTGGTAGGATAAACTTTATTCGTGCACGTATTGTTGGCACCTGATCCTGGTTCACTCACCGCATTGATGCCCGACAGCTGCTGCGACAGCTGCATGACGATGCTGATGACCAGCGGCCGACGCAGCGCGGCCTGCGTGAAGAGCTGCAAGATGCTGATACGCTCCTCCTTCTGCTCCTCCGTGTACTCCCTCCGCATCTCCGCAATCTCGTCCTGGATCTGGGAGTCGCCGCGCAGCCAGACCAGGGCTGCAGAGAAGAGGAAATAACGATGGGGAGGTGAGAGAGCGGTCAATCTGGACAAGTCAATATTTATATCTAGGGATTGTCTGAGCACCTTGATTGGTCTATGCAGGTGGTTTTCATCAAATGATAAAACATGGCTGAGAAGTGTTAAAAACCCATCAGTGATAAAAGTGGACCCTGAATCCAGACAAAAATGTCAAACTCAGCAATTTCAAGCGATTTGGAAACAAAAGATCTGAATCACAGTAAAATCTCGATACCTCGAATATCTGGGGAATGGACAAAAATTTCGAGTTATCCAAAATTCGAGTTTAAAGAAGGTCCCGATTTCTTTTGAAGTTAAGTCATTATTACGATGTGTATCATAACATGCACCTATACAATGATGCACAGTTACCGTAAACCTCCCTATGATGACTTTTGAAATGACATTGTGGTTATTTCATATTTTGGCGCCACAAGTTTTTGTTCATAGAAAGACATTTTTGCGGAGGATTTTTTGTGGTCAATCGGCTGATAAATAATAGATTACATGTACTGTTAATCATTTAAACTGTGTACCTTGGGTGGCAAATCTTTCTTTTGCGTTGTGAATGTGTGACACATTGTGGTGGTCCCATTTCTGATACCCCACCGCACCGCAACGCAATGCTGCGCCTTGCACATGCACACTCGGGCGGGGTTCCCCGATGAGTCAGACGACTTTTTTCATCACGAGGGTGCACCTTTTTGCGCTTAAATAAAATTTCCTAAAAACAAAAATGCTATTGGTGTCTCTGTCTTTATTTTTTGTTCTTCGTTCTTTATTTTCAAACTTTTGTTTATTTTTTGGGAGTGAGATTTGGCTACACAAAAGCTCTGCGTTGCAGTCACGTGGTTGGTCCACTGCTTGTGAGCACGCTGTGGTTTGTGGCTCTAATCGGGCAGCCATCGCACGGGCGAGGGCAAGCAGTTGGGCTAGACCATTAGGCCAGACTTCACTTCCGTACGTGTGGCGCATGCAGTATACACAAAGATCTGCAATGCATTGACACAGCCACAGCAAAGAGCCATCAGTTGGCCTGCCGACACATTGTCTACAATGGGCCCATGGTAACAATTGGGTCAATTCCTGCAAGTAGGATTTTGCGGTCGTGGTGTGGTTTACATGTCTAGATTGATCATTATTGAAGCGCTTGCAAGTGTTCCTGTGTGAAAAGACAAAGTGTGCGTGTCAGAAATGATTCAAACTAGACCCGCGTTCTGTTTACACTTTCTGGAAGTATTTTGGCGGTGGTTTCTTTTGGATCTGCTACACAAAAACTTCAAGGTAAACGAATCCGGCAACGTGAGCAGTTCGAGTTTAGGCTTTGTTTTGTACATAAAAGCCTATTCTTTCGGCGGGAATTAATTATTCTTTGAGTTAAGCGGAGTTTCGAGTTAGCTGACTTTAAGTTATCAAGATTTTACTGTATCTCTCTTGAGATGGGTAGTACATACCCCTGAATCCAGACAACAATGTCCACTTCAGTGTTTAAAGTTACTTGTAAATGAAAACTCGGAAGTAACTCTCTTGAGATGGGCAGTGGGCAATGATGAAGCTGGGATCACTTTTTGAATAGGCTGTGATTCAAAATCGTCTTTTAAAAACTTGAGAGAGGAATCTCTGTGATAGAGGTTAGAAAACTGCATAAAGAATGATGCCTGCTTGGTGCACAGAAGGCATGGCAGATGTGAGTTCTCATCTTATGCTTTGAACTGTTCCACAGGATGTCAAGGTACATGTATGTATAGTGTGACCTTTGTCAGGGGTTTCGATCATTTTCTTCAAGCCATGAGTACAATACCCACTTCCTTGCTCAGAGTAGTGTCCAGTACTCTTTTGCCCGCAATATTTGTATCAGGGCTCGAATTAACAGGCGCAGGTAGCTAAAATGCACCCGTTTGTCTCAGACGGGCGCCGGAAGTACTTACGCCCGTTTGATTCATGTACCTGAACATTTTTACTGTTTGTTTCTACTTTTGTCATGAAAATACCTGAACTTTTTCACTTCACTCACGCCAATACGCACGTTATCTAAACCCCTGCTTTGTGATACATGTATGCGGCATAAACTGTCTCATGACTTCTATGTACATGTAAATGTGGTGTAAACATAAGTGATGCTACACCAGTTCATATTGGTTTGTGAAATCCACAGCCGTTGAAGTGCATCAGTAACAGGCAAACACAGCTTACAATATTCCTCCCCCCCGTAACAAGGACCGGATTATTTGGACTCTTCCCCAGTGCCTGGACTGCCTTCAAGTTTAATACCCACCTTTCTCTGCATTTTTCTGTTTGTCACGGATGATCAGTAAGTAGCGTGGGCTCTCAGGACAGAAGGGCAGGGAGAGAAGCTGGAAGACGGCGGGCACAGCGGCAAATGCCAGACAGACTGACCACAGAGCGTCCGTACCTGCAATGGTCACATGATGACTGGATATCATCAGGAGAGTTTATCACATTGACAGGGCTCCCTGACCATGTGTCATGTAATGACCGCCCATAATCATCCTCCAGTGAAATGTTGAGTTACAAATACGATGACATGGTAGAAATCTGTACAGTGAAGTGGCCAACATCGTACACGTTGCAACTTTGGTTGTACGCACTTTGCAATAAAATATGGCATTGGGGCTTCGTCCACTGCCTTTCTGGACAGAAGACACTTTACTTGAGTCCTTGATGGGAAAAATTGGATTGAATTTGTCACTACATAAAATCAATTTCACTGGATATTCAGTGGCCACTGTTTGAAAGCTGCTTTCTAATTGGCCCTGGCCCTTTCAATAGAAAGATGCAGACAGTTGCTTCACATCTTCCAAACTGGAAGGAGGGGAACCCGTGTCGCCAGAGCCCTTACCTAAGAGCACCGGAAGACCTAGGATCTGGGACAGGAGAATGCCCACTGTCACGCCCAGCTGATTCATCACGCTGATCGCCCCTCGCAAGTTGAATGGGGAGACCTCCGACAGGTACATTGGCACAATGCCGGTATTTATTCCTGTCCACAGTAATAAACGGTTAAGAATCAAAACTAAGACAGAAAACAGACAGGAAATGGACACAAAACAAGCAAAAAAACATTTGATCAAGTACATGTACCTCCACAATGTGATGATTCAACAGTCAACACCTATGGAATGATTGGATTGGACACATCCAGAACGACTAGCTGCAGGAATTAGAACCACTTGCTGAAGGAACGGTATTATTGTTGGCTGAACATTTCAATTTCTCAGAAAGGGCAAGATACCTGTATGACGGCCAACTTTTGACATAAAGCCCAGAGTCATTTGAACAGTGCTTGTACAATACTTCTCTCTGCAGCCTCATATTTTCAATTATTCTGGGGCACACCTGTGGAGCAACACTTGCCCTTACCGGTACGACAGGCGCACAGGGTTCCTACACCTAAAGGACAATTAAATTCCATGACTTTCCTTGACTTTTTTATGACCAAATTATGAATATCCATGACTCAATAACGCCATTTTTTGTTACTATTCAGACATGTAAAGTTGCAAATAAAATCACACCTTTTATGCCCTTATTTCTGATGATAGAAATCACACACAGTGTCTGAAAAATTCCATGACTTTTCCGTGACTTTAGTCAGTTTTACAAAATTCCATGACTGTTCCAGGCCTGGAAAATGAAAACAAAATTTCCATGACTTTTCCAAGCCGCGGGAACCCTGGGCACAGTAGCCAAGTTTAGTTCAACAAGTGGTTCACCTCCACAGACTTCTTGCACTTTATGCGTGTGAGCAAACCAAATGGGGATATAATGTTCCCATGTCATGCGTAGGTGCGTCAAGGCATGCCTGACATCTTAACCAGTCAGTCGGGCCTGTTTAACACACGTAGCCAGATTGTGTTTACATGTCCATGAACTGGATGAGCTTCTGGCCAAACGTAATCTGGGAGTTTTCAAGTGATGGCCAGAGGCAATGGCAGTGCTGGTGTAGTCTCCTGGATGTGTCCAGTGCACCGACAGACACACTTACCGCAGTTCAGACCGATAACCAACCGTCCGATGATCAACATCTCGAAGGACCAGGCCACTTTGCTGAGTCCCATCAGCAACGCTGCCACCAGAGCGATGAAATTGTTGAGCAACAGGGTCCCCTTCCTGGGATGGAATTCAAGAAAAGCTTGAGGGAGCAGCTAAATGCAACACAGGGCAACAAAGTGCCAGTCCACATCTCATACACCTTTTAAATCCAAAACATCGGATCAGGTTAGAGGCTGGTTTCACAAAACATCTTTCTTAACTCCCTTTGATGTGTGCACCCTTTCCTTATTGAGTGCGGAATGCTGTCTGCATCATCTTTTAAATTGTTCTTGACAGCATTCCTTCAAATTTTTTATTGCCTTGTTTATAATTTTATTGATGCCATCAACGGTATCGTTGCTCATCAGAGGACAGACTTTAAAGGATCCAGGAAATGAATTTTTCTTAGTATCACTTTTTGTGTACATGTATCTCTGTACCCTTCTTTAATGTGTGGAGACGGTTTGACTTCTCTTGTTTTGCGTTATGTGAGCTGAAAAGTGCACTTTTAAAACATTCAAAGTTGACCACACATTTCTGGACAAGTGAGGGCGTTTTTGCTTTGATGTTCAGTTTGAATGTTTTCATGTTCAAATTGTGAACTCCAAATTTGCTTTTTTGAAAACAGTTCTGTGGAAAGGTCGCTGGCTGGCTTATTGCCACAGGAAATGAAATCTATGATAGCAGGGTGTAACAAATCTAGAAGTTTTCTATGCACAAATCGGTGCAACAATGAGATTCAGTGCCTAGGATGACATCATAGTTTTGCTCATGAATATATGCAAATGTGTATTAGCATAAAACCCCCAAAGCTCCAAAACCTGGGTTAAACTTGCAAAACAAAAAGTGAAAATAAGATTAATTAAAACCTAAAGGTGCAATTTCAAGGGCTTTTGTAAAATATTTGTATTTCATGGTCCCTTGAAAAGAGAACCAAATACCTCTTCCTCTCCTCAGCGCAATGTATGGATATAAATACTAAAATAATGATACACAAGGACGTATAGCTGAGCTGCAACGGGGAGAGAAGATATGAAAGATGCCTACAGCCAGTTCATCACTTCAGGATGAAACAAATTTCTCAGGTCCTGGTAGCAGCAAACGTTGAGATTAACTGACTTTCTGATGTTGCTTTCACACCAAGTACAAACTGGTCGAATTGGAAGCGCATCATACTGTGACGCAGAGGCAAGATTTCAGCTCATCTAAAACAATCAATCTTTTTTACTGGGCCCCAAAAGCCACATAAACGTCCCTACCTCCCAAGCCGATCGGCCAGCGGGCCAGCAACCAAGGATCCCACCATGCCGCCGACAGCAAAGATGGCCACCGCCGTGGCAAAGAGGAATTCGTTGCGGTTGTCCTCCATGGGCTCGCCACTTCGCCGCTCCTCCGTCTCATTGAAGAAATCTTGGATCACCTGACAAGAGATTACAATGTACACAAGTTCAAAACTTCAGACAATTTCAGAACTTGGGAGAACCAGCATCTGTTGTGGGGGGAGGGTGTATGAATTTTGTACCACCCAGCCAGCCTTCAGTTTTTGCTAGGACAATTTAAACAAGTTTAACCCAGGCTCTGAGAAAACTTCTAAATTTTCCCATCCAGCATTTGCGCACAAGCAAACAAGGCACAATTAGACCATTTTGCTTACATACACTGTACACAGACCTGTTAAATGAAAAGACAAAGGAATATTGGCATTCCATCTGCTAAAATTTGCTGTAAATGTACAAAATGTATGTATGTGTTATGCAAAAATACAATCCCGTTAGATAAAACGTTACATCAGTTCACAGGTACCAGTGTCTGGAATTTAAAAAATGTATTAACCAATAAAAAAATAACAGGGAAAAATCAGTACTAAATAAATATAGAAACCCTTACAGATTTACAATCTGAGAAATCAAGTCAAGACAGTTAATTCAGGAAAACAATTAGACTGCTTAAGGATTATGGAATTGATAATTTTCAATGCAGATGTTTGATAACTACATGTACTTGAAACCCTTTTGGGATTAAGTGTAATAAACATCCACCTTTTGAAACAAACATGTAGCTTTTCTGAACAACAACTGAGGGTGCTGTTTCTGTGTATTTTTGTTCATGTTTTTCTTGTTCAAATTGTGAACTCAGAATTTGCCTGTGGGAAACAGTTTTCTGAAAGTGTTGCTCATTGTGCCTGAACATGACCATACATGTACAAACCATGAAAAACCAAGGAACAGGAAATTCAGGGCAGCAGAACATCAGAAATTTCAGCAACTCTTTTGTGCACAAATTAAAGCAACATTGCGGTGGTTCCTTGGGTTGACATCATACTTTTGCTCATCAATATGGAGATCGATTTGCATTACATTAGCATAAGCACTAAGAATGAAGTTAGCTGAAACAGCCTTTGAGTTGTAGTAACAAGACGGCATCGCATCAGTTGTTTACCTGCCTGCACAAATGTTACTGTACAAGTAGCCGGCCCACTTCACAAATTTCAGTGACCATCTAAGCTTTCTAGAGCCAATAATATTGCAAAAATCTCCCACTACCCCCCCAAATAACCGGTACGTATTGTCTATCGTCTAGATACCATACCGGTACTTTAAATAGACGAGTGCTTATCAGCACCATATGGGCGACCCCTGCATTAAACAGACCTTTGATGCATTATTATTATTATTAATTCAACTGCACTCACTCCATGCAATATTCACAAGCGCATTACAATGAATATTACATACATGTACTGTACTTGGGTGGGAAAGATATGTACAAGTGCAGTATGTACTTAGTGAGTGTGTAGAGACAGAGAGTGACATGTGCTCTTTACACCACATTCAACACGTATGTTTCCTTCCTCGACAAATGAGATGTCCGAATGGCCTGATGGAATTCTTGTTTTTCGGTCAACTCATTTACACATGTAATCAAATTACTTAGCAAGCAATAAAATTTGTTGATTTCCTCTGTTCCTGTAGAAAAAAAAAATCATGCCATTCTTGTGCCTAAAACTTTTACAAGAATGTGAAACCCATGAAGGTCAAGCCTGCACAGAACTCAAGGCCATCCCAATGGTCAGTGGCTTGCAAAGGTATTTTTCAAGCCTGGGGACAATTTCATAGAGCTGCTTACGCACAAAATTTGCTTAAGCGGGAAAAAAATTTGCTTAATAAACCAAGATTACCAGCTTAAACTCTATCTGATTGTCATGCTAACCAAAAAACAGCTAAATACACGTACGATCCTAAAACAACATACATGTACATAACATGGAGTTTTGGCTGGTTACCTGATTTATCAAGTGAGGTTTTTTTCGCGCTTAAGCAAATTTCAAGCTTAAGCAGCTCTATGAAATTGGCCCCAGATTCAAGAACTGAAATCTGGTTCAAGCTGAGATTTTATTCTGTCACAGCAAATCCTAGCCTATGTAACTGTAAGTCCAGTTGATATCTGAATAGTGTAGAATTCAATAGGGTTTAATGGCGTTGAAAAAAATCATTCTATGATATATCAAGGATCAGTGCTTGATTCTGTGGACAGTAAATGACGATGTTGCGTAAAATGACTTGATATCACTTAACAAAAAAAAATTGCACTTATTGGCTTTATCATGTACAGTGTATGTATGTCATTCCTTTGCATATGCATTTTTAAAAAAAACAAACCTACATTCAAGAAATATTTTCACTGATTTATGTTACACTCTAAGTTGTAGCAGTGGGCATGGTGGAAGACAGGACCAAAACATGGCTACCGTTGTCATGTGCCACAGAATGCCATCCTGTACATGTACTGTACATGTTCATTATAAAATTGATGCACGGCAGAGCTGGGTGAATACATGCACATGTAGTGTCAAAACTTAACTTGCACTAATTGTACATGTATATGAGAAAATACCTGGCAGTACAATACACATACATGTAGTTTCATGCACAGTGCTTGTATGCATGGATAGTGCTCAACATGTCACCAACACAGCTTAACTGGTCCCCCAACCACTTCCAACTCATTGAGTCATTCTACATGTATATGTACCTCCTCAACGTCCCATGCTCATGTACAATGTGTATTCCTCTATATGACTTATTTCACTGGATGCTTAAAACCTCTCACATTAGCATTAGTTATCTGGACTTTTATCCCTTTTTTGTACCAGTGTGAAATGGCGTGTCCTGTTACATGTACATAATTATATTGAGTGTGTTATATTGTCAGTCATTCAATGTTTAGAATGTGGGGTCCTGTTACATAACATCATTGAGAAGTGTATTATCACAGGCCCTTTTCCAATACTCGACTTGGGCTCCATCTCGGGCTTCGTTCCCAAAACAAATCCCCGATAGTGGGCCTGAAGCGTTTAGATCAAATTGGATTACTGTAATTTCTGGCTCTCCTGCATCTTATTTGATGTTTTGTGGCACTATTAGACTGATTACTGCGCTTACAGCTTCAACATCAGCTAGTTAAAAAACAGTTGAAGCCTGAGACGGAGCCGAAGTTGAGCATTGGAAAACGGCCTCAGCCTGTTTGTTGCAAATGCTGTATAAAAAAATCACTCTGTACTACATGTGCATGTAAATTTCCTCAATGCACAATGGGTGTGTACCATACAAGTACATGTATGCAGAGTGGCTGTCTACAAATCTATGTACATGCAGATGCACACAGATGCACACACACAACAGTGGTTAGCACATGTGCTCACTGAGGCTGCCTGCCCGATCCCCTCCACTGATCCCTTCAGTCAGCAAACTTTTGTTGCTGGCACACAAGTAGTATGCTACAGAAAAAGCGTCCGCCTATTATTAGGGAGGATTTTCGTTTGCTTTCGTTGGGTAGTGGTGCTACAGTGCCTGCCTTTTAACATGTTTAACAGCTGCATTTATGAAATGCTGTGAAGTAACTGGTACAAGGCAGCTCTGAACTGAAGGACTTTATCAGTCAGTGCATGATGTGCGATGCATTTAATGGTCCCTGTTTCCACATTGCTATCTCCAAAATCGGCATTAAAATGTGCAGAGCAATCAAAGGAATTTAATCAATGAAAAGGGCTGTAGTGTGTTTGCGCTCAGCTTGTTTGAAGTATCATGTCATATGCCTCTTCTGAAGCAACAAAATACCAGTATATGCAAATTCTCCTTAATACTGCAATAACCGTGCACGGTCGTTAGCAGTGAAGTGTTTGCTCGTGCCTACTTTTGAAGCATATTAAACTTGGCACTGCCTGGTATGATGGTACACGACATTTACTTAATTTCGCCAGAGCAGATTGGTAAAAAAAAAAAAACAGAACAAAACAAAGAAGCTGCAGTCAGAGAAACTGGTGAGTGTTATACCCGGTACATGTACAGTGATTAACTTTGGCTTAGGGTCAAGTGCCTTGAGGTCATACATTTAACCCAAGTACATGTTACATACACATGTACGTAAAGTATTCCCTTAATATTTTCGCTGGATTCTTCAATCTAGTTAACACAAGCTGCCATGTACATGTATTCACTATTACCAGAAAGGTCTAATGGTTATTTCCTCCAATTTCAGTATGATTTGAGACACATCCAAGGGAGTTATGGTTAATATTTAGGCGCGTTTGAAAATGAAATATGGTTATAACCACCACCGGACTTTTTCTGAATAGGATAGGATGGAATCAGGCTATGAGTCAACCTGCATGATGTATACTTCATGTACATGTCCCGGTATATGTGCATGTAGTAATAATAATAATAATAATAATAAAGCATTTATAAGG